AACAGGACTGAAGATGTCAGCATTATGGTTTAGGTGCGGGGTCTGGAAGGGGCTTGCCATTGTCTGGGATTGATTAAGTCGATGATTAATATATCCTCCTTGTAAAAAATACAGTAAATCATCCTTTAAGGTATTTGATTCACTTTGAAATTTACTAATGTTTTCCATTTGTACTTTTTGCCACTGTTGTTGACTTTCCTGTAGATGCTGCTGACTTTCCTGCAACTTTCCTGTTTCCTTTCTTGTTCCAATTGCCACTGCTGTAATCTCTCTTCTTGTTTCTTTTCTTGTTCTTCTTGTTTATTTTCTTTCTCCTCCAACAACTGCTGTAATCTCTCTTCTTGTTTATTTTGTTGTTCGAGCTGCCACTGTTGCAGGTTTTCTTGCAACTGCTGTTGTCTCTCTTCTTGTTTCTTTTCTTGTCTATCTTCTCGTTCCTCTTGTTTCTTTTCTTTTTCCTCCAACAACTGCTGTAATTTCTCTTCTCGTTCTTCTTGTTTCTTTTGCTGTTCTTGTATTGCTGCCATCAAGTCTGCTATGCTGTAGTTTGATTTGCCGCTTCTCGTTTCCATTTTTTTTTTGTCCCTCTCCCTGACACCAATTTGTTACGTCTCCGTTCGTTAATTGATTTTTCGTAAATTCGTTCCGATGAAACTAGCAACACAAGTCCTTTCTTAAATAAAACTGGTTTATTCTTTCTGAATATAACTTTACCGATACACTTATTTTCAACAGTCGCTCTATAACAAACGCTATAACAACGAACGTTAACTTCAACAATACTTTCTGACTGCAGTTCAATTACTCACTACCTACACACTGTCCTGTCATGTTGTGACCATCCTATATATACCAGACTACCCCCAATCTAGTAAATGCTAGGGCATTCACGAAGGAACAGGAAATTTCTAGAAAGCAGGTGGCGTGACACTAGTCACGCGACCTCGCTGACGCAACATCTCATTGTCTTAAACTGAATAACTTTTGTGTCACTGAATTATCTTCTCATTAACAATTAACTCACTGAATACTTAACCGAATTCACATTTGGTGCATTGCCTTAACCCTTGTTTCTAAGAAACTGTACATAGCAATGTTTACTATAATTCCAAATTTACTATGTGTATCTTCATGAAATTTAGCAAGATTTTGATAAAAGTCTGTTGTACACAAAAAATCAGACTTTTTGATATAGTATTCTTACTAAAGATTTGCTTCTGAATTTACAAAGTCTACCTTTCCCAAACTCTGAGTAGTCCAAGTACAAGGTGGTTTTCATGATTAGAATAAAAACCTCTATAACCTCCTAAATGAATATCAAAAGCTTTTTTTTCCTATAAAATTTTTATATTTTATCTGCTATTTTCTTTACAATAACACTAACTGTAGCAAAAATCAGTAATTAGGGTAAAATTAAAAGTTTAAAAATATTGTTACGTCTCTGTTTGTTAATTAACTTTCCGTAACTTCGTTCCGACGAAACTTTAGCAACACAAGTCCTTACTTAATAAAACT